AAGTCTTTAATGCCAGTACTCATTCTCGCTCAGGACGCCTATGAGCAGATCACCTATCTATATCCTTTTCATCAATACTTGGTAAGCATGGCGTGTTTTCTCATCTGTCCTGATTTCTGTTCTCTATTTTTCCCTTGGCGGATACCGTCTCTCTCTTTATTCTCTGTCATGGCCCAAGCGCACACACACATATGCACATGCACATCCTGGGACCATTATTTCTGCGGAAGAGAGCGGCCACTCGAGCCAAGACCTACATCGGCAAAAGAGGCCCCTCGGCTGGAGAGCATCAGCCATCATTTACGTCACCGGCTTGGAGTCCGGGGAAAGGCCGAAGGAAGAGAAGCATGCAGGTGTGATGGCCTCTCAGCCCCTGCAGATTCCCTAGGCGGAAGCCCAATGTCCATCAAACCCGGATTATTGGGAGAACAATAAGGCGCCTATGCGACGATCCAACGTGGTCCGACAATGTCCGTGGGGCGCTCTTACTGTGTAGGATCGCCGAGCCGTCCCAGTCTTGTCTCACGGACCCCGAAACGGGAAGATCTGTCCGTCTCGCGTGAAGCGCGGGGATTACCTATCGAGGGGTAATGAGGAGAGAGCTGAGGGGCTGAGGAGGGGGGGAAAAGTGAGGGCAAAGAGAATGCTTTGAATGAAATTGTTACCATCGCCACCAGCTGCATGGAATGGTAGCCATCACCAAAATCACGGGCGGTGGAATGACCCATCCTGACAATCCACAACGGAGTTATCCGAGAATCCGGGGATGACAAGAGACGGACGGACAGAGAGTGCCAGCCACTGGAAAGAGAGCGAGGCAGATAATATACTGCCGAGATTGACCGCCCTCTTAATGGTGTCCACCGCCTCTGGCGCTCTTTGCGCCTATTGATTGTGTCTCTTCAATCAATCCATCCATTCATTCGAGTCCAGCCAGCTTTACCTGACAACACAACTTGGAATGGAACCAACTCTCTACTAGAGTCTCCTCTTCGCTCCCCCTCCACAGCCCACTTTCGGACTACGCTCTTCCTTAGCCTTACCCCGGACAAGTACCGCCTCAAATTCCCAATTCTTGCCCCTCCTTCCTTCTTCCTCCTTTCCCTCCCCCTTCTTTCCTTTCGCTCTCATCATCAATCAATCCCGATTAATTGAAGCACCACAATATTTCACTTCTCTTCTTCGGTGGCGATTCTACTCTCAACCTTTCCCACAAAGATTACAAGGCTATTTCTGGTCTGATCTGACACCTCTTATTTCCTACCACGCTCTTATCACTTTATTGCCTGGCCTTGGACTCTCTTCCCCCCCCCTCCCCTCTCTTCAAGGTTCCCTCCTCCCTCCCCCTCCCCCATTTTGGTTCAGTCCGTCGCCTCCGCGGCCCCATCCATCTATTCTTGTCTCTTGTCCGCCTTTCTCCCCGTCTCCTTTATTTTATTTTTTTTTTGCCTCGCTTATGGCCACTCAACGACGGAGCCTTTTCCTTTGACCGCCGCCCTGTCCTCTTTTCTTTTTCTGGTTCATTTCAGCTCCTCTCTTGACTTTCTTCCCCAGTCGCTTACCCCAAGCCAACCTTATTAGACATTCTTCTTTCGGCGTGCTCGACGAGTGACAGCACAAATACCTCGGACTTTTCTAGCCTCCGTCCGCGATAGTGGCATTTTTCCATTCTGTCCATCTCCTCCAAATCCTGCTTTCGCCCGGTACTCTGTCCACCGCGCCGCTTACAGTTCATCGCGACAACCCCTCGCGTTACCCCCGTTCCGTTCGGACGCCATAAACCAATCGCATTCTCCGTCCATCTTGGAGGCATCCCCAGGCTTGGTTTTTGTTACTAGACTGAATTTCTCGTTTTCTTGGTAAGTGCCCCCCATACTTGTAGTCGAGGTCTGAGCCACCCCCGTTGGCGTTTTCCGACTCGACTCATAGGGTGGTTCATTGCCACACGCATCTTCTCCTTGTTTAAGAACCAGGCTGACGGAACCTTGGAATCTTATTAGGTCATTAGATTGTCTCCAGCTATTCTTGCTCCGTCGAACCCCTTTGATGAATCGACGTCACCGCCTGTGGACTATTCAATACCGTCTGAACCATTCGCCCTGCCCCTAGGACGATTGTTTTGCACCACCGGAGATCAAGTGTTTCTTGGACAATCTGGGTTTGGCGAGCATCAAGTTATCATCTTTACCAGGTTCGCCTTTGAACCGTAAGATCACCCTCTGATAACACTATTGAGTGGGATTGAAAGGCTGGGGCGCATGCGCGGGAAATGGTGGAAACTAGCATTCTCATCAAGACTGAGCCTAACGAACACAGCAGTGACCCACATCACTATATAATGTCGCAATCCGGCTATTCGATGTCAAACCAATTCGGGAACCCCAATGAAGGGGTTGACCCCTCGGAGTTGAGCATGCAGAACGGCTTCATGTCCTACCCGTTCTCCTCGCAACAGAACCTCTCCTCCAGTTTTAATTTCGGTAATTCTGGGATTGATACCGATGAGCTGCTGGATTTGGAGATCAACGGCCACAATGGAGTCCAGCAGAACTATCTCCAGGACCAACAGTCTAGCGCTGGGATCTCGATGAGTCACCCTGGCCAAATGTCACAGATGTACTCCAACACGCCAGATGGAGCTCCCATGCACAGCCCTTTCATGCATAGCTTCAATTATGACCACTTCCGGAGCATGAGCCAGCCAGGACAAGCCCCTCACCTCCAGGGCAATGGATCCCATTTTGATCAGAGCTATCTGAATGCCAAGGCTCGGCCAAGCATACAAGCGCTCGACCGGGCCTCGTACGACGGGCGCAGCCCGATGACCCCGAAGACCCCAGCGCTGGGCGCTTTGACCCTTGGGACGCCGGAGTCCGGGAGTTTCCCTACTCAGCCCATTCGGACTGGCCTTCAGCATCGGCACCAGAAGACGCTATCCAACCAGTGGGATGGTACGCCCGGAAGTGCGCATTCCTATGTGGAGTCACCCATCTCATCCCCTGGCCATCCATCTCACCATGCGGGGATTTCGGAGATCCTCAAATCGGGCAAGCATGCTTCCTTGCCGGCCAAGGTTGATACGCATATGCCAGGGTCCGCCCAGGACTTAGAGTCGCAAGAGGCGAAGCGGCGCCGTCGCAGAGCCTCCCACAATCTCGTCGAGCGCCGGCGGCGAGACAACATCAATGAACGCATCCAGGATCTTTCCCATCTGGTACCCCAGCACCGCTTGGAGGATGACAAGGTTCGCAAGCAGCTTGTCAACAATACGGCCATGTCTGGTACTGGAGCTACCGCGAACGCTGCAACATCCCTGCTCGCTGGAGGCAACGGGCGCCGTGCTACTGCTGGTAACATCACCATGGGTCTCCCAATTGAGGAAAAAGAGAAAGGGCCCAACAAGGGAGATATTCTCAATGGAGCAGTCGGTTGGATGCGGGACTTGATGTGGGCCCTGCACGTCAAGCTCCAACAGGAGTCGGAGCTGGCAGAGTTGATCAGCAAGCTGGGTGGCACTTGGCCGTTTGAGCAGACCGAGGAAGAAAAGCGCATGCGCACTGAGATCCTGGATGCGCTAGAGAAAAACGACCCTAGCTCCTTTGCCTACAGCAGAGCGCCAGGGAGTGGTCTCCGGGTGCCCAAGCACACCAACATTGCTGGGGATTCTGTGAGCGGCAACGGAACATTGAGCCCCCAAAGCCTGAGCCCACCTTTCAACAGTGGCAGCAGCAGCAATGGCGGGGGCCCTGGACAAGCTCAGTATTGGAATACCTCGGGCCATGCTGGCATGAGCTTCAAGGAAGAGGACGAATACGCAATGGAAATGAACTAAATCAAGTTCACACTTCGCATGAGCTCTGCCTTTCATATCTTCAACGATTGCATGTCATGACCTTGTTGTACACAAAGGCGTCAAATGGGTGACTGGCGTACGCGGAAGTTTTTGACAGAATTCGTCGAGGCTAATGGCTGAAATGACCTTTATTGTCGTTGGTTCTCAAGGGTGTGCTTTGATTCCTCATTCTCTTCTGCCTTTATTTCTCGGCTTTGAATGGATTTTGATTGATGTTGTTTATGCGAGTTTATTTTGTTATGGCCTTGGACACCCTCTCCTTAATGATGACTGTCGTCGGATTCTGATTTCACCTTGACATATACGTTTTTTTTTTTTTTTTTTTTTTTTTTTTTTTTTTGGCTCTCTTTCTCTCCTTGCTCGTTCTACATCGATACCCTTTTCCCATTTTAATTATACGCTTGCTACGCCTTGGTAATCTTGCTTTTTTGTTGTTGTTGTTGTTGTTCTGTGTTAACGCATGGAAACCCATTCTCGGGCGTCATCAACGGCTGATTGTTTTCAACCTTCATAATATAAGTCATTCATATAACGACATTTGCATTCAATACTTGACTCCATTGATTTTCATCTAGCCAGTAAGCCAGTAAGCTTGCAATGATCGACGGTCGGCCTCGACCCCTAGAGGTGGATGATAAGTACTGTACATTACCATCATAGGGCAGACGCCCCGGGGGGTATGCACATACGAGAGAGGGGTGGCGGTCCATCGAACTTCAGGTGGAGGATGGATCCCAATTGGGACTCGACCTCATCTGATGTGCGGACGAACTACTGTAGGTCCCTGGGTGCTGTGAATGGACAAGACGGGGGAACATCCTTGCACGTGCGTGCGGTTCCTCCATCCGCATCTCCCAGCCTTACTGCCGCCACCGCCGCCGCGTCCTAAACAGTCGTAGCGTCGATGGGAGGTCAAGTGAGTGTACTGTACTGTACTGTACTGTAGGTACTGTTTGTACTGTATTGTCTGGACCTGGGCTGTAGTGTAGCAGATCGATGGTCTACCTATGTACCCACTGAGTTGGTATTTGTGTACCGATCTACAAGTTAATAGTTAATTCCCCTATTTTTTACGGGTTGTCATGAAAGGATGTCATTGCTGATTTACACATATGACTATTCTCTGTATTTGCGAATTGCGGTGAGGTTGGTATCATATCAACGGATGATCATATTCAGCATGCAGATACACAAAAGCTTATTCATGACAACGACAACCACAACGACAACAATAGAGGATGAATCTATTGCGACAAGATACGATACGATCAGATGAACAATGATTTCTTTCGAGCGCTTCTATCCTTGCTCGTTTTTCTCCTCTCTTCCTCTCTTCTATCATGATGATCATAAAACGAAAACCAAACTTGCAACCAAAATCAGAAAGCTCCTCAAGAATAAACATCTACTCATCCCGCATCTTGCGGAAGAAATCCATCACGCCGGTGAACACGACCAAGAGGATACCGCCGCCGGGGCCCAGCCGCAGGACCTTGGGGATGAAGCCCTTGTACAGGGCGGCGAAGCCCTCCTCCTTCATGACGGTGCCGACGGCGGGCCAGGCCCAGTTGTACTTGGGGACCTGGCCGGGGATCTTGTCGGTGTTCTGGATGCGGCTCTTGACGACGTCCATCGGGGTGTTGAGGATGGTGCCGGCGGTGCCGCCGACGGTACCGGCGATGAGGTCGTTGCGGGTCTGCTGGGCCTTGTTGCCGGGCTCGGCGGCGGGGAGCTGCGCGCGCACCTGGAAGATGCAGCCGAAGTAGCCCGAGTTCCAGAGGATGTGGCGCCACAGCGTGGACTCGAGGCCGTTGTACAGCGCCAACGGTCCCTCGGCCGCGACGATCTTGCGCACCACGTCCAGCATCCCGTTGTACTTGCCCGCCGACGCGCGGTCCTGCAGCCGGATCTTGACCAGCTCGAAGGGGACCACCACGAACGACTCCGTCGCCCCCGCCGTCGCGCCCGTCAGGATCGCCAGCGACTGCGTCTGCTCCGCCGCCCCGAACAGGTTGCGGTAGAAGCTGCCCCAGCTGTCGTTGGCGGCGAACTTGGTCGCGCGCTTGGGCGCTTCCATCAGGATCGGCGCGGAGATGCCGCGGTACAGGCGGGAGAAGCTGGTGCGATAAAGGAAGGGTGGTGTCAGTTTGTGGGCCGGGTTTGTGGTGTTTGCGGAGAGAGGAGGGAGGGGGTTGTTTACCCTTCGTTCTTCACGATCTTGCGCAGGCAGTCGAACATGCCATTGTAGTGGTCTTGGCCGGCGGTGGCGGCACCGGTCTGGAGTTGACTATCATGAAGGTTATCGTGTGTTAGTCCGGGGGTGTGTTTTTGTGGGGTGGATGATAGGGAGTCGGAAACAGTGCTGGGGAAGCTTACACTCGGGTCTTGACCACGTCAAGTGGGTACCTGGGGTTCATGCTTGTTAGTCATTGCAAACATTGGAGGGTGCATGTGCATCGTACATGACCAGAATCTATCTTCAATGTTAGCTTCCATGTTGTTCGAAGTCAATTGAGGGGGATCACGCGATGCGTACCTCGGACACACCAGCCACGGCACCAGCAATGAACTGGTACTGGAAGGGCAGGGGCTTCTGCTGGTTTTGGCTGGCCATTGTGATGACTGATTTGGAGAAATGAACACAAATTGAAAGGAGGAAGAGAAGAATACAAGAACACAACTTCAGAACGAAATGGAAATGCAAGAGGAAGAAAAAAGCGAAAAAGAAGCAAATGGGGTTGTTGAGTGGAGTGGGCCAAGTTGAAAGAGGAGGAGGAGGAGAAGGAGGAGTCAACGCGAAGGCGGCGGCATCGGAGAGGGTCGGAGGGTCTCCTCAGTGAGTCTTCACCGGGATTGTTCCCGATCCGGTAAAGCAGCACGCCCCACGTGCTCCAAAGCCCCACGGGGCTTTTTGCCTGTCAAAAGCTGAACCGAATGAATCGCTTATCCGCGAGCAATCAATTACTTTTACCTTTTGCCGCATTGACTGTCGGCTTGCCTTTCATTTAACCGTCCGTGATCTCATATCGTTCGTTATATCACAACTTAAAAAAAAATCATCCATCAGGCCATGCTTAGAACCGTAACAACTACTGCAACTACGATGCTCACTCCCGCCGTCCCTCCAGACGCCCCTCTCTTTTGACTTCCACTCGTCGGTTGCTCCTTCGAGACGGTCTCTGTGGCCGTCGAGACTGCCGTACAGCTGGAGCCGCACCGGTATCCCGTCGGACAGCAGCCACCCCCAACTGTATCGGCGCAACTAAACCACCCACTCGCGCATCGGCCCGCACTGCTGCTACTGCTGCTGGGTGCAGTTGTGGCGGTTCCTGTCGCCGTGGTCACCGGGACCACAATGGTGACTCCATCACTGGCGATAGTCGTCGACGGCGTCGCCGGACAAGATGTGGTGTCGCAATCACGACCCGTCCGGCAGCACCCGCCCTGGTAGTATGCCGAACAGGCATAAAACCCCGTCGGACAGACTGACACAGTGGCGGTGCTGGTAGTCTTGCTGGTGCTGGAGCTCGTGGCCGTGGACACACTCGTAGGCCGCGCGGGGGGGATCAGATCCCCCGTGGATAGCGTGTTGGTGGTCGCGGCAACTGTCTGTGTGGAGGTTGACAGCATAACGGTCGAGCTCACGGTCACCGTGATGGTAAAGACCCGCATACCTACGCACGAGATTGACATTAGCCTTGCCGCAGGGAAGCTTATCATTAGAGTCAACTTACAGCCACCAGTAACGCATTCATAGCCTGGAATGCAGCAACCTCCGCCCATGGATGACGGGCAGCTGGAGTACCCCTCGGAACATGAGCCGATGGTGCCCGAGCAGGTCTTGCCCTTCGGACAACAGCCCACATCCCCGGACCCGGTGTCCTTGACCAGGACGCACGTATCATCCGTGCTGCAGCAGCTGTCGGGCCGGTCGATCGATGTGCAGTTGGAGGTGCCGCTCGGACAACGGAAGTCCCGCCGAAGAAGCGGTGAGAAATCCCCTCTCCAACCGCGCCCCTCGTCTTCGAGACCACTCGTGTACGAGGGGTTGAAGGGGTACGTCTGTGGTTGAAAGTCAACTTCTTCCGTCGTTTTTAGGCTCTCAGATCGTCTTGCGGGCGACGTCAACTCATCGGAGGTGTTGGACGAGTTGCCGATCGTATAGTAGCTCTCATTGTTGTCAAACTGCCAATAATCCAAAAAGAACTTTTCGCCCTCATCATCGCTCATCTTCCGGACCCCCCGTATGGGCCGATGCCCTAGGTATGACTCAATCAGAGCATTGCGCTGTATGATCTGGTCGGGTTGCGTGATGTCGGATGTCGAGACATTGCCTGCGGTGACGAATTTGGGAAAGGATGGCCATACGACGCAGGCCAGGAGGGGTGCGAACAACATGGGAGTTGAGATTGCGACCAGAGTGACTGGGGATGTCAGCCACAATGCCTTAAAGAAAAGTTCAGTGATTGGGAGCGACAAGCGTGCATACCTTCGTGCAACCGCGATCCTTATCAGCGATAAAGGATTTCGGCAGGCGTAGTATAAAATAAGGTGGCTGGGAGAGACTTGGGAAGAGGCAAGGCAGCAAAATTGACCTGTTGGCAAGCGAATGGGCCACGCAGGCCAACAGTACGGTGATGTAATTTCTTCAAGGCCTTAGAGTCCTAATTATAGTCGCGAGGTTGTCAGAGCTGAGAATGCGGTGTTCGATGTGAAGCTGTCGGGTTACTGACCGTGCAGACCCACTTTACATCTGGTCCAATATCCCACCTGCTGAGAGGATATTGGTATGGGAACCATGCTCAACCTCAGTCCTCCATGGACTCAAATGCTGGTATATTGAATTGGTGGTCGGTCCGTTTCGCATCATCGCTTGTTCATAGTCTCACAAGCTGTTTATTCTCTTTCCATTCCTTGATGTTGTTGCAACTGGTCAAACACCCTGATGGACAACAACCATATCTGCTTGTCTCCCTTGTTACCCCTAACTTTCCAGACCATGATTTGAGAAGCCTGTCAGATCATTCACTCAGCACTCTTCAGCCCACGCCTTCAAGGCGGCATAGTCGCGACAAATCCGCTCATTGCCCCATCCTGTAGTAGTTCTGGTGAATTGACCACTTGAGATCTTGTCGGCCGTGTTCTGTCCTAACACTAGCTGGGTGCTATTTGCAAGCTCTCAAGAACCAAGACAGGCATACCAGGCAATGCAAATGATGGATCATCACGGATAAAGTGTAGTAGATCTGGTCGCTATCAGCGGTGGGATCTCGATAGCACTGTGCCCTGACCCACTGTTCCAGCCCCTCAGTGTAGGGGTGACAAGATAATTAGCACGTTTCTTGAGGTATTCAAGGATTATGGAGTCTGGCTCCTCACAAGGAACGATCGAGTCCCCGGCTCAGTGTTGTTATTGTATCGAGGGTTGGCACCGAACGTCCGGTTGTAGGCGGAGGCTTCTGTGTAGGTACTGGGTGGAATGGCAGTTGAGGGGAAGAGAAGAAGCATGATCAGTTCAAGAAGGCTCAAGCTCCAGAGAGAGATATCTATAAGAATCACGTATCTCCGAGAACCAAGGAACCATACGACAAGATCATGTTCAATTACCTGACGGGGCGTTTGTTCCCAAGTAACTTGCAGATCAAAACAGAACAAACACTAAACAAGCTATCACGACAAAGCTGAGGGACTCAATCAAAGGTATCATCTCGCCGGCATATGCAACAGCGAACCCAGTACTCTGGTGATTCTTTAGCCATAGTCTCGATGATAGGGACCTCATGATACTGATGGACACTGACGAGAAGTTTCGCGCCATGTCTCTCGAAAGAGACCAAGACGGCGATGAAGACGATCCCCGACAAGACATCACCGGAGACCCATCTTCATCCGTTCCAGTGGAAGACTGGTTCGCATGGCTGCAAGTTCTGTGCGTGTGCGCTTCCAGCTTAAACCTGAACACATGGTAAGTTCACCAGCAACTGCTGGAATGTGCTATCAGGAGACTGAGCAGCAGTCAACCCAATTGGCAGAGGATCTATAAACGTTTCTAAACGGCGATCAACGCCTTCGGGGTCTTCCAGATGTTCTATAAGCTGGAACTGCGGATCTCAAAATCCTCTTTTGAAATCCTCTGGTTAGGCTCGACCCAAGCCTTTCTCATTCCCATGTTTGCCATTTCGGCGGTGGTGGGGCCCATTGCTGACGCCGGCTATGGCAAGTGGTCATTCCTCACAGTTCTAGGGATGTTCATCATGAGCCTCTGTCACGAGTACTGGCAGGTGTTTCTGGCCCAGGCTCTAGCCATAGCACGGACTGGGCTTTGGCTGCCTTCAAATGCCCGCACCCTCCATTTCCCTAGCTCTGGTAGAGCCAGGAGCATAAATCGCACTGCCTTCCGAGATCCGCCATACATCCTGCTCGACGTCGGTCTGATTTTTGGTTCATGGGCCTCTACCTCATCCTGTACTCTTTTCAGCTTTTTGCCATCGCACAGGCCCGAGTGTCTTTATGCTCTGAAACATATCTGCTAATCATTTAGGGTTCTTGCTAGCCAGCTGTCAGTGGGACCGCAATATGCCCCGTCCTTTACTGCATGATTTCTACCTTCAGCCTTCAACTACATTAAACTAGGTATAAATCACTCCTCTTGCTATGTCCCCTCTGGCAGACTACTTCCCAATAACACCACCCTTACTCTCCAGAGGCAAACCTAACCTTCATCCTGGTTCCATCCACCGGTTTAGCAGTAACCTGCATCGTCTAGAGAACATCGCGTTAACCAGCATATCCCACACACTATACACACCCCCATCGCCAACAACAAGCAAAAGCAAGAAGAAAGAAAAACTCACATTGAACAACTCCTCCAGTACCTCAAACTGTCCCTTCGCATCAAGCACCGGCCGACCCCCAGCATCCCGTACAACCGCCCCAAGCCCGACCTTCTCGAAATCGAAGCGCCGAACAGTGCAGGCCAGAATGACTCGGACCTCGATATTCACCAACCCCTGCCCGATACAGTTGCGAGGCCCACGCTCGAATGGCCGCCACGCACTGACGGGAATCTGCTCCGCATTGCCACCAGCATCATCATCATCATCATCACCATCCGCGCTGCCCGCCAACCACCGCTCCGGCCAGAACTCATCCTTCGTCGGCCCATAAACCGCCTCATCGCGCTGCACCAGCGTCGCACAGTTGTAGATCACCACCCCATCCAGACACATCGTCCGCCCGTCGGGAAGGGTCACCGTGAACCCCGTCCCCGGGGGCATATACCGCGCCGAACCGGAGGGGGGATGTAACCGGAGGACTTCCTTGATGACCGCGGCGGTATACGTCATCTGCGAGAGATACTCATCGCCTCTGGCGCGCAGCATCTCCGCCACTTTAGTCGGGGAGGCGGCGGTCTCCTTCCCGAAGATGGCGTCGAGCTCGCGACGGACCGCTTTCAGCACGCGCGGGGTGCGGCTGAGTTCGTAGAAGGTCCACTGCAGGAGGATGCTGGTGGTGTCGTGGCCAGCGAACAGGAAGGACTTGAGCTGGTCGGCGGTTTCGCGGATGGTCTGCGGGGTGAGGTGGTCGGTGTCGTGGAGGCTGAGGGCGAGGACACTTCGTGAGGAAGAGGGGTTCCTGTCGGCCGTTGCTGTGGTCGTTGCTGTGGTCCTGGTTCGAAGCTCAGCGAACTTTGTCTCGATGTGGGCTTGCAGGAGGGCGTCGATCTGTCGGACGAGATACCTGCGGCGGAGGAGAATGAACGGGGCGAGGAGCCAGGTGAGGCGGAATTTGCTGACATTGCTGTCGCGACGGTAGCTGGCGAGTAGCTGACGGTAGAGGCGGGCGAGTTGGCTTTGTTGGTGGGTGGGCAGTTGGGCGTGCAAGTCGGTGTCCATTGTTGCGGCCCCTAGAAGCAATGCACAACGCATTAGACATGTTCCAGATTGGAGAGGTGCCAAACTAGACGACACTACCGATAATATCGAGCGTCAAACTGGTGCAGCGGTCCTCGAGGGAAAACTCCTCTCCGGTCCGCGCGTACTCGTCCAGACACTGGATGAAGATCCATGCCTTGTCGATGATGCACGGTAGCAGCGTGAGGAGATGCTGCGGCGCAAAGCCCGGATTGTATCGCTTGCGCAACGCTTTCCACTGCTCGCCCTGAGAGCATGGGGGAGATGTATCGTATCAGTGGGTCGATCGATCCCAGCCACGAGAATTGGGGGGGGGGGGGGGGCGCACAAACCTCGGCGGTAATCACGGAATGGGGCCCCAGTAACGGCTCCAGCGGTTTCATGGTAGGGGATTTGCGCATGCTGTAGGGAAAGCCCTTCGTGCTTCGGGAGACTTGCTCGGCGACTTCATGGGAGCAGACTATCCCCAGGACGCCCACCACCGGGCGGAGGTCGAGAAGATACAGCGGCGGATTGCCCAGGGATTGCTGCACCTCTCCGAATACACGGTCTGCAATAATCAGATTAAGTAGATACGATGATTGCAGAGGGGAGGTAATATACCGACATGTCTGCGCCGTTCCCCGCGACTAACGAACTCGTTTAGTGCTTTCATGTGTCCCCAGACCAGGGAAGGGGGAAGCTGTGGCCAGGCGGCATGCTGGTGGAATCGCAGATATCGAAGCCATTGCCACAGGTATATAGCCAGGAGAGGTAGCAGGGCGAGGAGTATAGTTAGCGCCAGCATTGCTGTAGAAGCATGATGCTGAAGAAGTTAGGGAGGGAGGTTTGTTTAACGTTGCAAGTTGACATCATATCAAATTGGGAAGCCGAGGGGGGTTTGGTTACATTCCGGACCCGTGACATGGAAATCCCTCCCGATTCAAAAGCAAAAATAAAAACCCGCAGTTGATGTCACATTGCAATGCCATGCTATTTCACATGAAGTCAGGGACATACCACCCAGAAGTCCTGTCAGATACATGCTGGCCACCTTCATAGAACATCTTGCATTCCCTCCATATCGTTTTCGATCCACCGCCATGTCACGCAAACCAACCCCCAGCAAGTCAGTACGAGACCGAGAACAACAGCTGGAACCCTCTGGTCAACAGATCCTTATCACGCGTCGACAATCTGCCCTCCCCCGCCAACAGGATCAGATTCATCGCCACCTCAGTGTTGGTCGGGAACGCCTTCGCGACGAGGGTGGTGACGATCTCCAGGCGAGGACGTAGGGAGCAGACGGCCAGGTGCATCGCCCCGTAGATGTGGGACTTGTGGACGAACTTGGCGTCGCCGGAGCCCCGCAGCAGGGCCTGCATCTTGCGAGTGTACAGCAGCCGGTACTGCTTGAGCAGCTCGGGGGGTTCCTCGTGGTCCTCGGACCAGATGAAGTGCAGCGGGTTGAGGTCGGTGGTGATCCAGCCGGGGAAGCTGGAGTAGCCCAGGTAGCGCGGCATGGTGTGGGCGCCGTCCCAGTCGACGAAGCCGGTGACGGCCCCCTGGTCATCGACGAGCACGTTTTTGGCGCTGAGGTCGGGGACGCTGAGCACGAACGACTCGTGGGGGTCGCTGCGGCGGCGGGTCGAGCGCGGCAGGCAGTCGATCATCAGGTCGAGCAGCACGCGGCAGCCCCGATCGCTGGCCGTCTCCGTCCACTGCGTGACGCGCTGCAGCCGGTGGCGCAGGTACGCGGCCGAGGACGCGAAGGGCCCGCACTGCTGCACGTGGAAGACGTGGCCGCCGTCGTCCTGGTAGTTCTCCTCCCAGCCGTAGCAGGGCGCCATCGGGTTGAGCTGGCCCATCCGCTCGTCCGCCACGTCGAGCGACCCGATCTGGTCGAACTGGAACCCGCGCAGCTGCGCCATCGCCTCGGCCACGCTGTCCAGGATCCGCAGCCGTTTCTCCTCGAGCTGCACGGGGCCGGACCGGTCGAACCACGCCTCCGCCACCATGCGTCCCGGGATGTAGCTCAGCACGATGTAGGGCGTCTGGAGCGGGTTGGCGAATCCGGCGTCGAAGTCGAAGACATCAGGCATCGGGATCATGGTTCGTTTCTTGATGAATCGCATCATCCGCGCCTGGCTGACCAGGGCTCGCTGCGCCGCCTCGGACATCTGCCTGTGGCGGGCGCTTGCCGGCACGCGGATCACGTACTTGAGCCCGTCGCTGAATCCGATGACGTGGATGAGGTTGTAGGTGCCGATCCAGTGCTCGAGGACTTTGGCAGTGGCCTGGGTGTTGGTGATGTATTTGCTGCGGACGCTGAGGGCGAGCTCGACAAGCGCCTCGTTGCTGATGTCGAACAGCTTCCCAAAGCGTTCTTGGAGAAATTCATCGTGGGGCTGCTCTTCCTGGCTGACTGTTATTGGGGGCATCTTGATTGGTGATATCAAGCTTGAGTCGGTGCGACGAGACGTGACAAGCTTGGTAGGATGTTTAGGGTTGACAAATCGATGAAGGTAGATGAGGATGAGGATGAAAACTGGTGATCAGAGAAGATTACAGAGACGGGAATAACACCGACTCGCAGTAAAGAAAAAGGTTGTTGACATGCAAAGTGAGATTTGTGTGCCTGGTGTTATTCACTTCTTCTCAAATGCGAGATCTGCGTCATCTCAGTTCAAGGCGGTTCGAAACACTGTCCCTATAGTAACAGTTTATCTTTGGGGCCACTTCAACTGCGCTGTTGGCTTGATCGATGATACTTACAGAGTAAGCTGCTTGCTTCTCAAGGCATTAAGACCACTGATTATTTGTCTACATTCAAAGAGCCAGTGGTTGGACCTTGATGCTCTGGTTCACGCAGCCTCTTCCAAAGGTGACAGGAATATGAGCTTTTGGGCATAAAGATATTTTCAGTTATCGGATCTAAACATAGTGCATCGGTGATCACAAATTAACTAATATACCTATCTGTATTCGAGTACATGCTAAGCAACGAATCACTCGCCCCTGCTTATGATCTCTTGCAATAAATCAAACCGAATCTTCTCCCCAACCCGACTATCTCTCCGGTACTCTGGATGTGTCATGACAACCGACCTCATCCACTGCGCAGGGGTAGGGAGCTGTCCACTGGCTCGTTTACTTATCACATCCAGATACTGCTTCAGTCGCTTTCTCTCGCGCAATGGGGTATCCATGTATTGCAGGTATGCCCATACAATGTTGATCAAGCCAGGAAATCCAGACGGAACCTCCGAGTTCTCACCGTTGACGATCTCATCCATGGATAACAGAGCGTACTGAGCTGATGAATCATAACCAGCCTTCTCCAATTCTCTCAACGTACCCATCTTCTGTTTCATACAGCAGTCGAACGTGCATGTCTCAAACGTATGTGGCTGTTGCTTTACTGCAGACCAACCCGTACGACGGAACCAGATCCGCTCGTCAAGCGCTGCATTGCGCTTCTGGGCTCGCTCCATGGAGTCACCCAATTTGTCGATGGGGATGTAGAAGTTCAGGTGAAACGCGGTGATGGCGCGCGAGAGAAGGTATATGAATATGGAAAATGCAGCATTGTCATGGTCGGTCAGTTGAACCTCCATGGGCCGGAATTCAACTCGCCAGCCGGGTCCGGAGTCGCACAATGGGGGCTTGAGCCGGACATGTTGCCATACACTATTGTAGAGCATATCAAAGAGACCCGAATCGTTGGGGTCGAATTGTTCGATGTCTTCCCGACTCACAATGATAGGATCACGAGAAAGAACGGTTGCGAAGTGGTGAGCCAGAGGCTCATCCATCCCGCCATCTAGCAGGCCCTGCTTGAGACTTTCGTCAATTGGTTGCGAGGATGTCTTGCCTTCCACATCTAGTGGCTTCTCTGATGAGATATATGTACGATTCCAGGAATAACGAGGTGGCTGCCGCAGTCAGTAACTCTACGGCCTTTGGTAGGGATCTCACTTACGGTTGTGGCCAGCTCCTCTGTTGTGCGGTCATCCAAGCAAGCAGAGATATATCCCCAGCGCGTATCTGTGTCTACCAAATAGCCTTTGTAGACAGGTGTTGCAGCGGTCAATGCCAACATAAGCGGCCCCAAAACCATGAGCTGATCGTGCAGCCATCGAGCTTCAGGCTCATTTGGCGCTTGCATGGTGACTTGGATGCAACAGCATCCCATCCCAAGCTCGGGGCAATCAAGATGTATGTGCCCCTCTTTCGGGTCTGCTGGAGGCAACTGCTGCGATAAATACTCGTACGACACGTTCTTGTCGTAAAACGGTCGCTCGGTCAATTCGTCTCGGAATACCGGAACGTGGCATTCAAACCGTCCTTGCCGCCGGGTAGTCAAATTCTCTGTCGCCATGATATAGCGCGTACTTGGATGGTAGACTCGGCCATCTGAAGCATTTCCTGAAAATCTTGTGTCCGGCTCTAGGGTTGTGAACAGGCCCTGGGTGCCCAGACCAGGCAAGACACTGAGAGTCAGAGGATGCTGATTCGGTAGTAGACACTGTCGAATCAGATCTCGCCTACACTCAGATGACCAAATTAGAGCCTGGTAAGGCAACTGCAGATTGTGACTTGCCGTAGCCGCATATTGTTTTCCACCTTCAGTAGTGCGGTAATCTCTTCTCCGTATGGCTTCGCTGGAGTTGCCTCAATCATATACCGACCCCATTCTGGCTGAAAAGAGACTGCATTCCACGATTTGCTAGAAGTCGCCAGTCTGTAAGTCTTCTCGTCTTCCTTTGGAAGGAATTTCATGTTCTTACCTATTCTCTTTGGCGCAACGCTTCTCATATTGGCGCAGCACATTCTCCTGGCTCAAAAGCAGCGTGGCCTTGGATGCTTTTGCATCAACATTGATCAAAGTGTACTCGATCTAACCAGTAAGCAAGTAACCACGCCACTGAAAAAAGAGCAATTAACGTACCTCATCTCCCCAGAGAGCCTCGGGGTCAATACGATATCTTTGCCTCGTCCAGATATGCAACAGTTGCTTGTCGCGGTCAACCTTCCCGTCCCACTGGGTTGAGGGCAACTCTTACTTCTGCCGCTCCTTGGCGAGCGATAGGCGCAATGTCTTTGATTTCTTGCCAGGAGATGGGAGCCGTGTTAAGACTTGAGTCTGGAAGTCAGTCTGACGAAGGTAAGGGTAACGATGTTGTCTGCAGTTCCACATACGCAGGGCCCATGATTGCTGGTGTTGCTCGGATTTTGTTTTTCTGCCCTCTTGCTACGCCGATACACACAGAGGCCGGCATCAGATTAAATAGTTCCCAGGGATTTGCATCCATTTGGTTCAGGCAACGTAAGTTAGGTTATAGGCATACCCACTAGATTCCGTGCCGATCATCCTTGAGAACTGTAGGTAAAGCACCCATCAAGGGCGTTGACCGACTTAGGATTTTCCATGTACGTAATGAGGGCGGGAGAAAAGAAAATGTTCTGATGCAGCGTTGAAAGTCTATGCAGTTGTCTATTGCCAATGATGAAATCGCACCCAGCGTGTAGCCAGCGACTGGATATGCCCCTTGCATGGTGGCTTCGTCAGCTTTGTCCGGGGAAGCGCCACCCGGCGGAAGTGCAAGCCATCGACGGGCTCTTGGTTTGGACAAGGTTGACGTAGAGTCGAGAAGCGTTGATCATCGTTGCTCTCAATCATACCGGGGCGGTCATATTAGGAAGATGCTTGCGTGGTTGACATCCCCCTGAGGCCGTCCGACATGATTCGCTTCGACATACATATTTGCCTCCTTGGCACGGTCGATTGAAATAAGCCACAATGGTGGAATTATCTGACCTCCAGGTGTTGATAGGATGCTGTCTGTCAGTTGAATGTGCGAAGGCAATGGCCGAGATTATTTTGTCCGCATACGAAGATGTCGAGTACGACGAGTCTACGAGGCTGTGAGGCTTCGAACTGCAAGGGGTGCGGGATCAGCTTTCAGTGCAGTCGATTTGGCTGGGTCGAGGAGATTTGCTTCGATGAGACGCCCTTTAGCACAGGCCCTTCCTTGGGAGCATATGTATATCTCACACCGTACAGCACAATTCACAACAGGCAGTCATCTTGGCTGCATGTATGTAGAGGCTGGTCATCACGTGGAGGTCTCCCTGGTATGTGCCTTGCCCAGGGATGGCGGAGAGCCGCATTCGCTGCGTGTCTCATTACGAAAAAGGGGTGGCAGGGAGGGGTTGGCCTCGTTCTTGAGATCGTCATCTTGAACTTTCCGTGGCCGCGCAACGTGAAGGTAAAAACAGAGGGTTGGTAGAAGTTGGAGGGGCTCGCTGTTGCTCGGCAGAAAATACTATCTCAACATGATTGCTTGACTGACTATTCCACGTGATCAATGTATCAGATCAATAATAGGATACCTCCGCTCTCATCGAACACGTATATATGACAGGGAATAGGTCTAATTATACATCAGGTGCAATCGAACTCCATCACTTACCCGATCGAGCATCATCGAATGGGATCATCAACGGAGATCATTATTGATCTGCCCAGCTGCTTTTCCGTCTCAATGCCTCGCCATACCTCCACAGAAACCACGGAATGGGACACCCGATGATCAGCGCCGTGAATGCCAGAACAGAATTCCCCCAACCATATCCCAGCGCGCGGTACATGGGCGGACTAAATAAGGGGAATCCGAAGCCCGTAAGACCCCGCAAGATGTATACACCGCCATTGGCGCTGGCCGCGTAGACACTGTACGTCTCGAGGAGGTAGGCATTTGTGCATTGAAAGATAATGGTCGCGCCCATTAGGGGTAAGGCAATCCCGAGATCTGGAAAGATCCAGTGTGTATGAGCCTCGGCGGTCCAGCCGTAAAGGAACAGACCGGCTGGGATGAGAAGGCTGGCAGGAATCATGAGCGGGAGGCGGAACTCGGGGTGGCGCTTTTTGGCATTCTGGTTGGCAGTGTGTTTATCTTCCATGCCGTCCGAATTGGCGGTGGGGGCAGGCGGACCTTGCTGTTGCTGCAGCTGTTGCTGTTGTTGGCGTTGTTTCAAAAAACAGTAGATTTTATCGGCAACAACAGCACAGGTCTGTGCACCCAGAAGATAGCCGATGCATGGGGCGAAATAGTTGAGACTGCCCCGGCTAGTGGCCATGTGATATTGAGTGGTCCACAAAGTAGAGAATGTCGAGAGAACAAGGTACACCAGACCGTAGAGGTATCCGTAATAAAGAGCCAATGCCTGAACAATGGGTTGGGTAAGAAGCAAGTGAATGGAGCGTAGGAGGGTGCGTTGGTAGAGGTGAACGAGAGTCTCATTGTCAGGCTTGTTGGTGTCGTCAATGTCAAAGCGGGTGCGGAGCATTGCGTCTTTGTGTTGTGGCGAAGACTGCAAACTATTCTTCTTGCGTCGAAGGAGGACCGGTGCATACGTCTCTTTGGCTAGACAAATCCCAATCAGGGTCGTGACGCCAGCAAAGATGGAAGTAGCATGGAACGCCCATCGCCAGCTCGTGTAGTCGGTGATATAAGCTCCGGCTATCGGACCCAGACAGGATCCCAGAACCGGGCCCATATTTAGAAGTGCAATGCTGAGACCGCGCTCCTCAGGACGGAAGCAGTCGCCCAATGTGCTTGATCCAACCTGGCTCACGCTGTTAGTGGATGAGTGCCCTGTCAAGATGGAAAGGAAAAGAGAGGAAATACCGCCAGAGTTGCGCTTGCACCAAGTCCGCTCAGCAATCGGAAGGCAAGCAACTGAGGAAAGCTCCTTGCAAATCCGCCAGCCAGGTTAAAGATAAGAAAGAATGCATTTCCTCCTTGTAGAACAGGTACACGCCCCACGAGCTCACTGAGGGGGCCTAATAGCAGAGGCCCTATACTATAGGTGATCAAGAACAGTGACACTACCAATGGGCCTGTTAACGTGGAAGTGACATCCAAATCAGTCGAGATTGTGTCTACAGCTGGCGCAATGATTGTGGATGACAACGGCATCAGGAAAGTTGGGGGGATTAGAGTCAACAAGACCACCCATTTTCGAAAACTTGGCCAATTGTGCGGATGTTCGTCTGATTCGAAGTCGATGATGACCGTAGACTGGTTGTACTGCACGAGGGGTTCTTGCTTCTCTTCCTCTTGAGCGACTCGGTAGGTTTTATCCTCCATTGTGAATTCCCGCAGAAAAGAGTGCGTTCATCGACCGAGTGCGAAAGAAGACATCTGACATACTTGTATCAAGCGATCTGACAAGGAGATTCGAGCAGAAACAAACTGCGTTGCAGGATGAATCTGAAGCCTCTAATGATGTACATTCTTGTGAAGCCACTTGCGTAAGACCTTGGAACGACACTATGGTGTACAATGAGCCCTTGCATGATCTTCGTCAAATGATAACCTCGTGATCTGCAATTTGCATAGCCCCTGACAGAACCCTGAAGTAAGTTACTATCGGGCTTATCGCCGAAATTGAGGATCGCCGGTTCCTGTCTTGGGATGCCAGGGGTCGCTCATGCCGTTAATTCTCTTTAGACTGGGGTTACAAAAGGAGAGACAAAATCTCCTTCGAGGTGTGACTGATCCCCTTCGTTGAAGACAATAGAAAATATTGTGTAAGGCCTTCTCCTTAAGTCAGAAGAGTTAGCATGCGGTGGTCCCATGTTTTTGCAAGAATGTGGTGAATTCTTAGTGAATACATTACCTAAATGTCTCGACTCCATGTTGAGCTCAACACTAACAGCAGATATATTCTCCCGTGTGGTTATTATGACTTAATGTTGCAGCGATCATGGAGCCCTTCAATTTCTAGCCAAGTAACGTGAATGTAAGCCAGAGACAGTTTCCCTCTTTCGAAGAGTTTGAAGACAGCTTGAACTTGGCTTCTGGCTGATGATTCCACGCTATGGTGGAATACCGGATCTAGGTTGCATTGGCCATTTGGTGTTCATCAGCCAACACACGTTGGAGCAGTGTGATATAGCATCGCACAGCCCGGTAGTTGTGATATTGTGTTTCATCTAATAGTAGTGTAGGTCTCAAGTAGGTAGACTTGACGATGAATTTACAATATTTGCGGCGTAGCGAACAAGGATGGCTGCAGTCTTACCTAACCTCAACGAGCTAGCCGGCTCATCTTAAGGTTCGGCCCGGAACTAGCAGTCCCGGGTGCATCTTACACTTCCTAGTTCAAGGCAGTGGCAAAGCCGTTCATCGATAGATGGAGAACGGGTTGACTGTTTCTGACCGCATGGGCAGCATCATGGATATGTCATCGATTGCCGGTTTAAAGAATCCGGGTATGAATGAGCATATGAGTATCCTGCACTTGGTAAGAAAATCACGATGGTTTGTCCAGTGTATGCTTCTGCAATTAGCAACATTCAAACTGCCATCATGTCTCTAGCAATGTACAAAATGCAATGGCTACTCTAACACTTGATCCATCCTTCAGAGGCTGGCGGAGCAATGTAAAACAAGAAAGACCAATCCTCCCCTGTATCATCAATGTTCATAACGCGCCACAAGCTGGCAGGGTATCAATACACGAACACGCAAGGTTTCTCGAATATGCAGCAATCAGTGGGCGCGGAGCTTAGCGAGACGAGTCAATCAAAATAGGCAAAGGGAAAGGTATGATAGTGAGGGTGCAGGTATGGGCCAAATAACACAAAGGAGACGTCAAAAAGAGTGCAATCCAAGTTAGTCAAGCAAAGTGTAGGATGTATATGATGAAAAGAACGAAAATGCAGCTGATTATGTTGGCCGCAGGCTGACCAACCAGCGCTAGTTCCTAGGGACCAGAATCGGGACGATGAGCATCTTTGATAGCTTCCTCCTGCTTGTCACTCTCGTCGTTCTTCTCAACCTCCGAGCTCGGTTCTTCCTGCTCCTCTTCCGCCTCCTCCTCCTTGTCGTCGTCTTCAGAAGCAGAATTCTTTTCTTGAAGAAATGTCCCCTCCGTGGCTGCTACCTCCTCCGCAGCTTGTTCCTGACTTTCTGTGTCGGACTTCGTTTCAGCTTCTTCCTCAGGCTGCTGCTCACTTGCTTCCGCTTGCGCTGCCGCTTCTTCAGCTTCAGCTTTTGCCAACTCGGCTGCGCGCGCCTGTTGTCTCTCCCAGACTTCCTTGCGAATACGTTCA